GTCGGGGGCGTGGCCTCGAGAGGTCTGGGCGCAGGGACTGCTTATGGGCGGACGGAGGTCAAGGCTCCGGGTTGAGACGCTGACCTAGGCCTCCAGCGCAGAGCAGAGCTCTGCGGCTCCTTCGGGGGCTTGTTAATATCAGAATTGTTAGAAGCTTCGCGGAATCGTAGAGCGAGTGTCCGCAGCTCAGGCCTGCGTAGGGGGGGCGGAAGTCTCTCACGCCTTCTACGGAGACACGCCGTCTGGCACCTGCTGAGAGCAGGCGGGTGTGGGGGGCTGTCTGTTTCTGTGTGTCTTTGTGTGCATGCACGTGTATCTCTCTGTCGCTTGTGTGTCTGTGTATATGTCTGTGTACTGTGCCTGTGTCTCTGTGTGTATGTATCCGTGTCTATATATGTGGATGTGTGTGTGTATCTTTATGTGTGTGTGTACACACTTAGAAAGCAGGCCTGCCCTGTGTGGAGGCCGGGAGTGAAGGTGCAATGTGCTATCACTATGTCATACTGTTTACTGTTTGCTCTTGTGTGTTTGAGTCCTTTTGAAAGAACAGCTCGAAAGAGAGAGGGAATCTCAGACTCCAACATGCATGACAAGCACTAGGGCTCTTGTAAGAAAAGAGCTTTACCCCCCCACCCCCATTCCAACCAAAGATTCCCATACTCGAAATCTGTACTAGGGCTTAGAAATCCTCATTTTCTAACTGCAAGAAGTCTGCCGATTATAACTTGTGACTGTGGAGCAGTAGTGTGGGAGAAACTGAGTTTGAGTCTGGTATCTATTTCCAGGGAAAGGATTCATGAAGAGAGTAGTTTTTAAGATGGCCTTAAGATTGAGTTAAATCAGATTGATATGAGAGAACAGAGTTCACTTCCAAATATAAAATGTGACATAAGTAAAAGGGACTGGAAAATGCTGCCCCTGTTAGAAACCGTAGAGTCTAATGTGATTGGAATCAATAGATCAGAGAAATTTGAGAGACCTATGAGACGTGAACCTTAAAGGAAATAAGTGGGTGGGTAAAGCAGACCCAGAATCTGGAAAAATTGAACCATTTCCAGAAAAGACCAAGGTTAGTGTCAGTAGTAGAAGTAGGATTCATGAGCTTCCTGGAGACAGATGACGCATTAATTTGGGAATTGAATAATTTGAAGCATCTGCAAAATATCTAGATTTAGATGTCCAAAAGGCAATTTGAGATCCATTTAATCAGCACTTTATATTGAATACCCACTGTATTTATGCCCCAAATTAAGTGGTGAAGAGACAGAGACACCAAGTATCTCCCACAGTTGGAGAGCTCACAATTCAGAGACTCTGACAGGTAAAACTTCTGCAACTGACTGTGAAGACTCAGAACAAAGTTCCCGGGAGGTGAGAGGCAGTTATAGTCAGACAGCTAAGAAGGTGCTGGGGCTGCATTATACCTTGAGTGTGTGCACACCCCAAATCGGTGTTTTGAAGCCATAGCCTCCAGAGTGACTGTGTTTGAAGATGGGGCCTACACAGGGTCATAAAGGTTGAGGTCATAATCCAGTAGGACTGATGTCCTCATAAGAGAAAGAGGGATCAAAATTCACTCTCTACCACATGAGGACACAAGGAGAGGCTTCTGTCTGTAAGCCATGAAAAATAAAGCCTTCTCCAGGACCAAAAATTCAGCATATAACCTTGTCCTTTCTAGCAGCAGAAATAAAGAGACATTTTCTATCTTTTAAGCTATCTACTCTGTGGTATTGTGTTACTGCAGCCTGAGCTGGCTAAGCCAGATGGCTTCTTGAAGGAAGTGTCATTAAACCTCACAGGTGTTTTCCTGGTGAAAGAGGAAGAAAGGGACATTCAGAGGGCAGGGGCACAGGACAGTTTGGTCTGAGCAGAGAGTGGCAGAAGAAACGATCTAGCTGGAGATAAAGAAGTAAACAGATTGTGAAGGACTTCCCCCACCAACATAATGGATTTGAATTTCAGCCTAAAGGTGAAAAATGGCATGCTAAGCGTAATTACAAGGCAGTGTTGCACGAACACATTTGAATTTAGAAAAAGCATGCCAGAGCAAGGGGGTCGTGGGCAAAGTTTATGTAATGACACTGAAGGAAAGAATTGTTTCAGGAATCCAGGAAGGACTAAGAAGAACCTCAAGTAAGTTACAGAAATGACCTTGGAAAGAAGAGGGTGTAAATAGGTATAATGCAGTAATGAGGGCCCTTTAAAGGAGATAGATACATATACCTGCACACATTTACACACATGTGTGTCCACACACATAGGAGGGGGCAGAGAGCGGGAGAGAAAGAAATTAATTATAAAGAATTGGGTTATGAGACCCTCAAGACAATCCTCAAGTTCAGCAGCTTGAGGGTAAGCTGCCAATCAGAGATCCAGGACAGCCAATATAGTAGTTCCTATTAAAATGGGGAGGGGGAACGCCAGGGAGAATCAGCATTTCAGGATGAGTCTGAAGGCAAAGAAAGAGCTGATGTCTCAATGTAAAGACTAGAAATAGGAAGGGTTCTCTCTTACTGGGAAAAATCTGTTTTTTTGTTTTATTGAGACCTTCAACTGAAAGTAAGCTGCTTTACTTGTCTGCCAATTCTAACATACTCAGAAAACCCAAAATAATGTTTAACCAAATATCTGGGACTCAGCAGCCCAGTCAAGTTAACACATAAAGCTAAGCAGCACAAATATGTTCCAGTAACTTACAGCCATTAAACAACTAGAATCTAATAACTGAGGAGGCTAGAACTGGGTAAGTGCCTTCTGACTGTCCACCTGCATTTCCTTGGAAGAAGATGTCATTGTTTCTATAATTTTAAAAATTAAAAATGTATCTGAAGTCCTGGAGATGGTATTTTGGTTCAAAATCAATAGCACTTTCTCATTTTAGATTAGCCATCCTATTCTTGAAGGATTGGGCCAGTAGAGAATGAATAAGATTCTTCATGGCTTATGAGTTTCCTTAAATGTTTTATAGATTATGTGTAAAAGACATAGCATGTAGAGAAAAGAAATGAACTCCATGTTTCCTCTGTCATTGCTTAGCTCATTATATTGGCAAAGATTTATTGATGTCAGGTTTAAGTGGTGGTTAAAAAGAGTAGTCTTTTGAGTCACGTTGCATGGGTTTGAATTCACTTACTTGGTTATGTTGACCATAGAAATTTATTTAACTACTTGTATCTTAATTTTCCATTTGTAAATGGGGATAAAAATCATTGTGTGTGTATATTGTATGAATGTGTAGTTAGATTGGAGATAGTATTTAATGTCTGGATCATAGAAAGCACAATAAAAGTATTAACTGTTATTAGTTATTTCAAATATACATCCTAATTTCATTTTCTCTATGATGCTGAGCAAATGGATTTTTTTCTGGACATGTTACATATGAGACCGAAAGCTCAGGAAAGATAGTATGTCCGCAGTCACACAGCTAAGATTAACCACTCAAGTTAGTTTGGTTGCCACCTCATGCTCTTTCTATATTAACTTTCTCCCGGTGTTTATAGAATGCAATTGACATAGTTCATTTTCTGTTGGTATAACTGAATGCTAGAGACTGAGCATTTTATAAAAAATGAGGTTTGTTCTGCTGCTGGTCCTAGAGGCCAGAGAGTCCAGTGTCAAGTTGTTAGCTTCTGCTCAGGGCCTTCTTGCTGTGGCACAACATGGCTGAGAATGTCACATGGTGAGACCAAGCAAGCTTGTTCAGGGGCTGCTTCTTTTTATAAAGCACTAATGCTATTATGGGGTATCATCCTTACAACCTCATCTAATCGTACTGACTGCCCAAAGGCCCCCCCTTCAAATACTGTGAGCATATGAAATTATCATTTTTTAACACATGGTCTTTTGAGGTGAGGCATGTTGAAAACATACCAGTCTTTTAATTGAATTAAATAAAATTAGTAAAATAGCAAAAATGATTGAATAAAGGAAATGTAGAATGCGAGAAACTTTGGAGATAGTATTTAATGTCTGGATCATAGAAAGCACAATAAAAGTATTAACTGTTATTAGTTATTTCAAATATACATCCTAATTTCATTTTCTCTATGATGCTGAGCAAATGGATTTTTTTCTGGACATGTTACATATGAGACCGAAAGCTCAGGAAAGATAGTATGTCCGCAGTCACACAGCTAAGATTAACCACTCAAGTTAGTTTGGTTGCCACCTCATGCTCTTTCTATATTAACTTTCTCCCGGTGTTTATAGAATGCAATTGACATAGTTCATTTTCTGTTGGTATAACTGAATGCTAGAGACTGAGCATTTTATAAAAAATGAGGTTTGTTCTGCTGCTGGTCCTAGAGGCCAGAGAGTCCAGTGTCAAGTTGTTAGCTTCTGCTCAGGGCCTTCTTGCTGTGGCACAACATGGCTGAGAATGTCACATGGTGAGACCAAGCAAGCTTGTTCAGGGGCTGCTTCTTTTTATAAAGCACTAATGCTATTATGGGGTATCATCCTTACAACCTCATCTAATCGTACTGACTGCCCAAAGGCCCCCCCTTCAAATACTGTGAGCATATGAAATTATCATTTTTTAACACATGGTCTTTTGAGGTGAGGCATGTTGAAAACATACCAGTCTTTTAATTGAATTAAATAAAATTAGTAAAATAGCAAAAATGATTGAATAAAGGAAATGTAGAATGCGAGAAACATTACTCAGCCATAAAGAATGAGAAATTAGAGTCATTCATAGGAAAATGGATACATATTGAGGATATACTCCTAAGTGAAATAAATAAGTCACACATGTATAAATGCTGAATAGTTTCTCTGGTGTGAATAAACTATAATAGTACATAAGATCCTAATGATATAATGGACAATGTGAAATAGGAAGAAAGAGGCTAAAGGTGTAGGGAAAGTGGGAAGGGTAGGGGAAAGCTAATAAGAGAAAAGAAAAAAATATGAGAAAATGAAAAAATGGAAATGAAGTGTTTGTAAAGGGGGGAGGGGTGAAGGGAGGGCAGGGACAAGGGTAAAAAATGAGAACCAAGACCTGTCATGTAAAGGTACAAGATCCCAACAATGAATGTAACTGTACTGTATACCTAGAATGTACCAATAAACTGAATGAGGGGAAAAAAAGAAAAAAAAAAAGCACGCCATCTTCGCAAGACATGTTCTAAGTCAAAGCCACCAGGAGGCAGTGTTCAACAGGCAGAACGGGTCTCCTCTTTAACTGCTTTTCATCACTTGCTAAGAAGCTGCTTTTCCATTGCCTATTTGCCTAAAAGTAG